GAGCCCTCGCGACAAAGGCGCCTCCGCTACTTTGCGCGCCGACAGTGGCCGTCTCGGTTCCCGGATTGGTCGGTTTTTTGAGACGGCCAGCCGGGTAGACATAGCCCTATTTACCGGCGCGGGGGTGGGGTCTACTGATGTCGACGCCTCGACCGGCTACGCCTACGACAGACCGGTTCACCACGGGGAAAAGATACGCGTGATTCTCGTGATACGGACCCGCGTGATGATAGGTGTCGCGGATGATACGGGGATATTCTCGATCATTGATCCCGGCGTTCGAGAGTTTTGACTGGGGAGACGTTGATTCAGTGTGTTCATACGTTGATGGTTGCGGTGAATGCGGGATTTTCTTTTGGGAATTATTCGGTGGAGAAGGGATTTCGGGAATAGAATTGTTGCAGTTTGTGGCGCCTGAGAGAGTAAAGATTTGATGATTTATGATAAGTTTTCGGATGGAATAATGGGTGTATGTCTCGAGGAAGTCGAATAAGATTTGAACTGTGTTTGATAGTAGTGAACAGTAAATATATTTCTATTCTACTTGCAGTTTACTAAACCAGAAATGAAATAGTATTTTGCTTTGAAGTCATCATCAGGAGCGTCAAAGAAACCACGAAAAATTTCAATAAAAATTCATAACATAATTCATGTCAACAATAATCGTCGCTGTTCCTCGAAGTACCTCAATCTTCCAAACCAATTTTCACACTAAACCTCTCATATTTCATTAACGATTCCACTGATTCTCCTAAAATAGTAAGAAAGCCATAAAAACATCCAAAATGTTCAAATATGTATTCAGCATCTAGAATTCGTACACCTGCAGTCTACGCGTCAGTCTGGTAGCATCGCGAGGATCGTTCTCGCGAGAATTGTGGCGTGGTGAAACCGGCTTTCGCCCAGAGCCTTTATTACCGTGGTGGGAGTGGTCTCGGGACGGGCCAATCAGAAAGCGCCACTTTCAACCCTCATTGGCCGGGACGTAAATCGATTTATCACTCAACCCGTCTGCGCCCGACAGGGGAAACACGCCCTTAAGGCCGCCCGGCTTAAGGTCGACTCTTCTCCGGCTCTCTCTCGCCACACTGAACACCGCCAATTCTACTCGGCGGAGGTGGTGGCGGCGTACACGGCGTCGATGGTGGTGGCGGGCCCATGTGGCGGGGAGGCTCGGGCCGAACGAGCACGGAAAGGGTGTGGAACACTCCTGATCTCCGGCGGCGAGTGTTCCGATAGTGTCGGAGGGAATTTTTTCGAAAGACTCCGCCGAGAACCCCGCTCGCTTGGACCCGCCGTCCCCGAAATTGAGCCATTTCCCGAAACGAGGCTTTTCCTTCGCCTCCCCCCTCGGCTGCGGCGCTGCCTATCTGACTATTCATGCCACCACCACTCGGCTCATTCTTCCTCCTGGACATCCTATATCTTCCCATGATCCCGCTTCTTTGAGCCTCTTCGCGAAGAAGAAAATTGTCTTCGATGGGAAACTTTGGTGTGACATGGTTGGCGTCGAACAATGAAGGATGTTGAGGGGCAGAGATATTTTGGTTTCATTGATAGGGAATTAGAGGATTAATTCTTGTATTCGTGAGTTAAATATTGTATGATAGATGGTGGGATTCTATTGAAAATTTCAATGTTGCTTTATACTTAATACTGTGTAATGCAGTCTTTGTTTATTGTAATTTTTATAATACCTGCGAATGACAATCTCATGATATTGTAGGGTACTTCTAAACGACAACAATTATTTTAAATCGCTTATTATGATTTATGCGACAATGTCTGAAAGTACTAAATAATAATTCTGCAGTATACGAGACTACAGAAATTGTCTTCGATGGGAAAGTTTGCTTGGATAATAAAGAATGATTGGGGTTGGGGATATTTTAGTTTAGATTTGTGGCGAATGGAAGACTGATTGTATAATAGTATTATTTCTAGTTTATCGAGATATGTGTTTGAGTATACACAGGATGTAGATAATTTTTATGTTTTTCTAAATGTTGGTTATTGTATATTTTTGGCGTGATAAGTAGGAATTTTGTAAATTTTTATGGTTACAATCAACTACTCAATTGTATTTCCTATTTTTTTACAAAGGAAAATATATCTGTAACTAGAAACGACGAATTCTAGTGTGTGCACGAAAGAATTGTTGATTTTCTGTTGATTTGATATTTTCGGTCGTAAATGAAAGTTAATTTATTAGTCGAGATTGAATAACAAGAGGATAAACATCGAGGAGGACAAGAATCAAGTTAATGAAAAGCGGAGCGAGCGCGGAGCATATACGGGATTAAGAGCTTGGCCAAGAGCTCCGCTCAGAAACTTATTTCATGATTTTTCCGCTGGAGGAGGACCGTCGCGTGCATTTATCATTCGCATTTTCAGATGAAAAGCAGCACGATACGTGTGCATTTACGCCTGTCCAACATTTGTCAGCAATAACTCCAAAGAAGCATAATACCGAAGCTGAGATAGTCTTTTTATCGGCTGAAATAAAAAAAAGGAGCTCGCGCAGCTTTCCGCTGGCGAGGGAAACAAGGATAGAGGCAGAAGGAGGGGGTTTTTTTGTACGCGGAGCTTTGTTTCAGTAAAATATCTCGGAGCTCCTGCGTTCATCTTCCCGCCCAAGGAAAAGTATAAGAGCAGCCTCTTCATTTCCAACCTCTTTCGCATTTGTTACTTGTATCAAGAAATTAATGGACGTTTCGAGACACGCTTTATTGGACAATGTTCCTTGCAAAATGTAAAATGATAGAAATTTTTAACACGTCGCGAATTGTCAGTGTTTGTAAAATATTTTTCATATGGGTAGTCATATTTCAGAGGTACTTGGAACATTGATAATATTTCTAGGCTCAGGATGTATTAATGAAAGATGTTTATTCTGTGTTGGTGAATTTTTATGTTAACCATGCATTTGAACACGAGAACATGGTTCTATTTATTTCTCGATTAATGTATACATTGTATAATTTACTTATTTGTTGAAAAAAAGGCAAATATGCTTCTCCGAGAATTAGTTTTATAAATATAATATACGTGAAATTCTGTGTAATATGTTTCTATTGGAAGTAGTAGCACTTCATTTTGCTAAATAAGAGAAAATTGCTAGCATGGCACCTAAAGATAGATAATTTCTCATCAGTGTAATGTTGGCTTTCTGCTATTACCTCTAGCCTATCTTGTTTCACTGCAATTTCTATAGAAAAAAATTCTCATGATCCCCGAATAATTTGTTCATTCAACTGAATTCATACAAAATATAAAATCTCCTACATCCACACTCTCAACAACAACATTCTCAATTCCACCTTTCACCCCTTTCCATCTCACCACAAGACACCATTCAAATCCAATCGCCAGTCGCGATGCATTATTGTCATCGATCATTTCCCACGAAACCGACGTAATTCCTTGACCCAACGAACCCAAATCCAATTTTCCTGAAAAAAACCGAGATCAGAATCCGAAAAAGGCGATCCCTAAATCACGAGGCCTTCAGTCCGCACGAGATTATTCTCCCGATCGTGTAACTCGCATCTCCATCCGCATCAAAAACGTCTGCCACGCGTTAAGTAGCGCGGAACTCGAAAATCTCGTGGATCCTTCAAATTGCAATTACTGGCGTCGCGCGGGAAATTTTCGACAGATCCGTGAAGAACGTTTAAAAAACCTGTCAAATCCCGGTCGGAGTTGGAAACAAGATATTAGCGAAGACGGGAAGGGCAGGGGGCGCTAAAAGGGGGCAGCCGGCGACGCTCCCGCAAGATTAAGTCCTTGCCTGGTTCTTAACTTAACGGATTGTTGCACTTGACTAAATTCAGCGCATTGTGAGGAACGTTGCGTGGCCGA